GTACAAAAATCCATATAAAACACATATAGAATACATGCTGATAATAACAATATTCAATAATCAGTACACTTTCCTGTGGGTGGCTAACCCTATTTTCACTTTTCATGCTACTGAGGGCTACCTCTTGTTAGAAAGGGACAAAAGAGAAACAACAGGGGACATCCAGAAAGGTTTACTAACACAGGTTGAACTCAATAAAGGTGAAGTAGATTTATGCCTTTTAATAAGCAAGAATAAATAGAATAGATCATATATGTATTTTATATGATTATATACTGCTTTATTTTTCAAATACTATCAGAAGACATTTTTCACAACTATTTTTTTTTCTTTTATTTCAGCATATTATGGGGGTACAGATGTTTAGGTTACGTATGTTGCCCTTGGTTCCCCCCCCGCAAGTCCGAGTTTCAAATATGTCCATCCTTCGGGTGGTGCGCATTGCACTCCTTGTGTATACAAATTCCAGAAGTATTTTGTGCTTACTTCTTCATAGCTCCTTCTAGGGTTTATTTATTTTTCTGTTTCTAGTGCTCATTTCATCATCTTATACAAAATATGTAAAGTAAATAATGTCATGCTAATCTAGGAATTAGGAATTGTTACTTTCCTAAATCAGGACCAGATTGCTTAAAATTGATAGAGGTCACCAATTTAAAGCCCAGAAGCAAATCCTAAGATGTTATCCTAAAATGTTAATCCCCTAAATTCCCCCCGTGGATAAGGGAGGACTACTGTACCTGGATTTGCACATGGCTGAAGATGGAAATTCAAAATTAAACTATTCTTTTTGAAGGCTTTCCTATACCTTATAGAGGGTAAGTATCTATGGTTAAAGTAGGTGGACTTAGATGTCTTTCGAGATCTTCTCATTTGTGCAGGCCCTGAAGGGGAGTCTTTGTGTAGAAATGGCACCAAACAGTGGTTGTTCAAATCTGCCTTTGAATTCTCTCTTATCGGATTCAAGCACTCCTATTTAGGCCATCTAATTAGGATTTATGACTCTATTTCTAGCAGAAAGAGTTACTCTAACTTAAAAAGATGTCCATGCCGATTATGGCTCTGAAGACTTTGAATATAACAGAGTGTAAAAAAGTATTTTTTCTTGAGCTCTTCACATATTTGTGAAGATACACAATATTGCTTTTTTATTTTTCAGCACATCATCATTTACAACATGTGTACAGAAATGTGTAACTTGCAACTTTTAAACTTGTCTGTGTGTATTTTGAATATAGAAAGCAATGTGAGGATGAACATTT